AGGTTCCATTCTATATGCATCCGAAGAAGTGGGCTGTAGTCCACGAAAGCTTATGCTCTAATAAATTTGTTAGTCTCTAAGGTGCCACAAGTACTCCTGTTCTTTTTGCGGTTACAGACTAACACGGCTGCTACTCTGAAACAAGAACTAGGGGTCACCAAATGAAATTAGTAGGCAGCAGGTTTAAAACAAACAAAAGGAAGTATTTTTTCATACAGCACACAGTGAACCTGTGGAACTCCTTGCCAGAGGATGTTGTGAAGGCCAAGACTATAACAGGGTTCAAAAAAGAACTAGATAAGTTCATGGAGGATAGATCTATCAATGGCTATTAGCCAGGATGGACAGGGATGATATCCCTAGCTTCTGTTTGCCAGAAGCTGGGAATGGGTGACAGGGATGGATCACTTGATGATTACCTGTTCTGTTCATTCCTTCTGGGGCACCTGGCATTGGCCAGTGTTGGAAGACAGGATACTGGGCTAGATGAACCTTTGGTCTGACCCAATATGGCCAAACAGACAAAGGGAGCAGGTCTGCTGAGTAAGAAGGTACCCTTTTTATAGGGTCAAATTTTTGATCTTATTCTGCACTTTAACCCTGTTTTACAATCTTCTGGGATTTGGTGTTTAATTTATTATCTTGCGGCATCTGATACGCCACAAAGTAGCACTGTTCACTGCCATATTATATGCCTGATCCTGCAAACACTTTTAATAGATTAATAGAATCCAAGGCCTGAAGGGGCCATTGGGATCATCTCATCTGACCTCCAGTATAACGCAGGTCATAGAACTTCCCCAAAATAATTCCTAGAGCAGATATTTAAAAAGAATATCCAACCTTGATTTAAAAATTGTCCATGATGGAGAATCCACCATGACCCTAGTAAATTGGTCCAATGGTTAATTACTCTCTCAGTTAAAAATATATGCCTTATTTCAAGTCTGAATTTGTCTAGCTTCAACTTCCAGCCATTGGATCATGTTATACCTTTGTCTGAAGAACCCATTACAAATATTTGTTCTCCATATAGGTACTTAGGCAGTAATCAAGTCATTCCTTACCATTCTCTCCATTACACTCAAAGAGCTCGATCTATTTAGCTTATCACTATAAGGCATATTTTCCAATCTTTTAATCAATGTTGTGGCTCTTTTCTGAGCCCTCTTCAATTTATCAACATTCTTCTTGAACTGTGGACACCAGAAATGGACAGTGTATTCCAGCAGTGGTCGCAACAGTACCAAATACAGAGAACAGAGGTAATACAGCCTCTCTACTCCTACTTGAGATTCCACCGTTTATGCATCCAAGGATCACATTAGCCCTTTTGGCCACAGCATTGCAGTGGGAGCTCATGTTCTGCTGACTATCCACCAGGACCCCCAAATCTTTTTCAGAGTCATTGCTTTCCAGGATAGAGTCCCCCATTTTGTAATTATGATCCGCATTTTTGTTCCTAGATATATACATTTACATTTAGCCATATTAAAACATATTGTTTGCTTGCACCCAGCTAACCAAGCTATCCAGATCACTCTGTAGCAGTGATTTGTCCCCTTCATTATTTAACACTCCACCTATTTTTTGTATCATCCGCAAACGTTATCGCTGATGATTTTGTTTTCTTCAGATCATTGTTAATTTTTTTTAAATTAATAAAAACTAGCATAGAGCCAGGAACTGATCCCTTCGGGACCCCTCTAGAAACATACCTGCTTGATAATGATTCCCCATTTACAATTACTTTTTGAGACCAGCGTTTAATCCATTTAATGTGTGCCATGTTAATCTTATATAGTTCTAGTTTTTTAATCAAAATGTCATGCAGTACCAAGTCAAATGCCTTGCAGAAGTCTAACTATATTACATCAACACTATTACTTTTATCAACCAAACTTGTAATGTAATAAAAAAAATAGAATTATTTTGAGGGGATCTATTTTCCATAAACCCATGTTGAATAGCTTTAATTACATTACCCGCCTTTAATTCTTTATTAATTGAGTCCCATATTAGTTGCTCCATTATCTTGCCCATGATCGATGTCAGACTGACAGATCTATAATTACTCACATCAGTCCATTGACCTTTTTCAAATATTGGCACAACATTAGCTTTCTTTCCATCTTCTGGAACTTCCCTGGTGTTCCAATACTTATTGAAAGTCAACATTAATGGTCCAGCAAGCTCCTCACCCAGCTCTTTTAAAACTTTTGGATGCAAGTTATCCAGACCTGCTGATTTAAAAATGTCCGTCTTTAGTAGCTGCAATTTAACATCCTCCTGAGATACTAGTGGAATGAAAGAGTGTCATATGATATGACTACATTATCTGTCTTTTTCCCATATACAGAGCGGGAAAATTGATTGACTATTTGTGCATTAGTACTGATAATTCTACTATTAACAATGCCATTGTTAGGATTCTTTTTGTTCCTAATATACTTTTTAAAAGTTGTTCTTGTTGTCCTTAACTCTGCTGGCTGGAGAGTTCTCCTTGTGTCCCTTTGCTTCCCTTATCAATTTTCTATAATTCCTAGCTTCTGATTTATATTTATTACTATCAACTTCCCCTTTCTTCTATTTGTTATATATTATTTTTTTATTTTTTATAGCTGCCTTTACTTCCCCTCTAAACTTGGTCATTTTTTTAACCAATATGGCCTTCTTCCTTTATGATGGGATTGCAGCATTTGAGGCATCTAGTAAATTGTTCTTAAACAATTCTCAATTATCACTCACATTTTTCAGATTAAATTCTTCCTCCTTGCTGATCATGCTCATAACTGTTTTCAGCTTTGTGAAATTGGCCTTTTTAATGCACCGAGTATATATATCACTGGTCTGGACTTTATTCTGTTTGAACTTTATAAATGTGATCAAGTCATGATCACTTGTATCTAAGTTACTATTAATTTTTAGTTCTGTGATGAGTTCTTCTTTTTATGTCAAGACAAGGTCTAATAGAGAATTCCTGTGTTGGATGCAACATTTTGCTCATGTGAGTACGAGTGTATAGGATAGAACCATCTAATTGTGGCACTATAGCTTATCCTAAGCCCAGAAAGGTGCTACTGTTCCCTTCATACAATGCGGTGTTTTGATATAAAACTACATTCCCATAAGAAACCAACTAGTTACTAAAAACAAAAATAAAGCCCCGTACAATGTGGTAAATGTCAGATGGGTTGTTTGGAAAGGTCAGGAGACTCTTATACTCCATTATTTCAATGGAGCTTGCATTAAAAGAGTACATTGTTTGTCTAGGGGATAAGGCTGTGTCTGATTAAGAACAGCAGAGCTTTATAGAGTATATTTTTAAATGGGAACACAGGAACTAAAGCTTTGATTAGTGTCATATATGGGAAAAGTTTGCCTCAGAGACTCAACTGCTGAAACAATGGGAAACCATGTCAAGCACTAAAGCAAAGACTGACATCACCAGCCAGGAGAGCAGCTTAGCAATTAGTGGGAGGGAAGGAAGCCAGCATAGAAGTGGAAATGGTATGGGGAACGCAGCTGAATGAAAAAGGTTTAGACTGCACTGTTAGGAAAGTTCACCAAACCACAGCCTTTGGGTTTGTCAGGGTATGCAGAGCATTTTCTGTTCCCTGACTCTGACACTCTTAGAAAGAAATGTGATTGCTTTTGAGACTTCTGCTATCCCTGATGCTAAACAAAATTTTTTGTTTCTTGGAAATCAACATATTGCAGTGGCCCCTGGAATTCGAGGAATCCTGCAGTGTTCTGAAAGCTGGAGTGAAAGTGGAGATTCAGGGTATGTATACATAGCAAAGAAAAACCCACAGCTGGCCCATGCCAGCTGACTTGGGCACGCGGGGATTGGGCTGAGGGGCTGCTTCACAGTATTGCCAACCCCAACAGTTCAAAAAAAATCATGAGATTGGCCTAAAAATCACAACATTCTTATAAAAGCTTAAATCATGATTTTTTTATTCGACCTTCTGATTTTTGATCTTCCCCTGCCTACTCCTGATGTATGTGTGATTAGCACAGTACTGCCGGCTCTTGCATATTTATGGAAAGGAAGAGGATTTTTGCTTCTCCTGCAGGAGCTCTCACAATAATGCAAAGAGCTCTTATCCTTATGCAATTATGGAGCAGGGCCTGCAGGTATCGCCAGTATCTCCTTCCCTCCCAGGCCATGGCAGTCACCTGTTCCCATAGCTGCCAAAGTTTGTGCAGCTCCATGCAGGACATTTTGCACCAATATGAAAAAGTCACTAGTCTCCCCTAAATGGTCCCCTGCCACTGTCGGGGGGGGGACAACCACATGAGGAACATCACGCATGGAGCTGCACAAAACTTTACTTCCCCCCAAAAGTCAATGAATGCCCCATACCTTTTGTGGCCCAACTATTGCCTCATATCCTGCTGCTCTCCTACAGGAAGCCCTCAATCAGGATTGGGGGATGCACAGGAAGATGATGGAATCTTAACTCTACCTTGCTCCTGGTCAGAAGCAGCAGCAGGTCCCAGAGCAGGAAGGAAAATCCTGGGGAAATGAGAAGGAGATGCTGGTGGAAGCTGAGCAATCTGGGCAGCACTGCTCTAAGCAGCTGATGAGAGAGGCAATACACAGTCATGGCAGAGGAGGTGTATTGAAGTGACTCCCCACAACAATGTGCACCCCAGGGCAGTGGGAAGAGGAGGGTCCCGGGGCTGACAGATTTTTAACTAAAATTAAGCCTCACTCATCTTGATAAAAAATCCTGACATGTGAGTGTTCTATCACAGATCATGAGTGAGGCTTAATTTTAGTTAAAAATTGCATCTCTCATCAATTCATGAGAGTTGGCATGTCTGGTTTCATTGCTGTGTAGGCTTCGGCTGGAGCCCGTGCTATACAACCCTGTGTGGTGGGAGGGAGAGTTAGAGGACCAGGACTTGTGTACATTTAAAATGCTGCAGTGGCACAGATTCACCTCTGTAGCACTTCAGTGAAGATATTACCTATGCCAACAAGAGGGCTTCTCCAAGAGCATTGGTTCTCCACCTCCCTGAGAGACAGTAGCTAGGTCAATGGGAGAATTCTCCTGTCAACCTAGCGCTCTCTACGCTGGGGGTTAGAACAGTTTAACTGCATCACTCAGGGTGTGGATTTTTCAGACCCCTAAGTGACACAAGTTACACCGATACAATTTGAAAGTGTAGACCATGCTGTAAAAAGTCTGCTTTTCACCATGGGCCAAATCCTGATGTCTTTATCCTGTCCTTACTCACTGAAGGCCAGATTCTCAGCTGGTGTCAATCAGGGTAGTTCAGCTGAAGTCAACAGAGCAATGCCAGTTTACTCCAGCTGAGGATCATCATCTATCTCTAATAGTTTTGACAAATAAAGGACAACATAAAAACTGAGAGAGGCTTGAAATCAATGGGAACTGGGCACCTAAATACTGTTGAGGATTTGGGCCTTACTGCTGAAATCAGAGCTGAAAGCCTGGGATGGGTCCTATGTGCTTTGCAAGTCAGAACTGGGAGAGGCTTTCCCTCTCAGAGCCTCACTACATTCTTCTGAGCTAACAATGCAACTTTGCTTGACTGCCAACTCTAACTAGTATTGGAACCATTCCGTGTGAAGTCTGCCAGGTTCAGGCAGGGGTGTGCAATCGTGTGGAAACCTGCATTTAAAATAGGACTCTTTTGCTCTAGTGCTTTTGTTCTTTCCCAGTGAAAACAATCCACACCCCATGAGTCATCATCTGTGCTGATTTGTTTACCCCTCCCAGATACTGCTCCAAAACAACAAGTTCCTTATGAGTTGTTAATCTAAAACAATTCATGCATGGGGAGGCACGAGGGCTCCTATATGAGTGCACATATATTTATTCAGTAGGTATTCCAGTTATCAGTCTGAAACCCTAATAAACAGATCACAGAACAGACCTAATGAGCAGACAGTTCCAAATCACCTGCGCTGCAGACTCTGCAGTGGTCCTCTATGAGCTATTAGACCAGCACAGAAGAGCCAGAGCTCAGTGCACTACTGCCTTGACTCCAGCTGGTTGCTCCCCTCCTTCAGCCTGGCCAAAACCACCCCCTTTACCAGGGGTGGGAGAAGGTCTATATTGGTAGATATGTAGCAGCAGTGAACACCCCACTATACCAGAGGTATGTTTAAACCCACTTTAAACTGTTCAAGTGAAGTAAAGGAGAATTGGGGTCAGTAATAGGTAAGGTCTGCTGCTTATTTTGGACAGTTATCAGCATTAAAGCTGGATGAATAGGGATTAAAATACTTGCAAATAGTTTGGCAGCTTCTAAATAGAATTTCTCTTTGACTGCATTCACGCCCTTCTGTTCACTTCTCCATTCTTTGCAGTTAACCTTAATTTAGGCATTTCCTGACTTTCGAGTGCTTACTAGTGGAACCTGAAGGTTGCATGTGTGTCATGTTTTGTATTTAATCACCATATCTTTTCTTGTTGTCCTGTTCCATAAAGTTTACAACTCATCTTTCACCAGAGGGCCATTTTTCAAGTTGGTATTGAAGTGCAGTATAGACAGATGAGCAAGCAGTTTTGCCTTTTATTGCAATTATTTAGCCTGTCTCTTTTCAACAGTTTTCTTTCAGAGTATGGTATGTGTTAAGAAAAATTCCCAGGTTTCATTAGGATCAAGAATAAAAGTTTATTTCTGATATTAAAGGAGCAACTTGGAGGTCTATAAGGGCCTGAGCCAAAACTCACAGAAGACAATGGGAGTCTTTCTATTGACTTCACTGGCTATGGATTAAGCCCTAAACATTCCCAGAAAGCTCTCAACGTGAGCCAAATTGTTTCCTTATTCAGCTTGTTTATGTGATCACAAAAACCTTGTGTTCTACATCTACATTTTTTTTCCTCTTGGCATCCTGTGAAACTGTGTCTAGGTTTATTCATTGGATAGACTAATTTTATGGTTGGTCTAATGCCCACTGCTTTTCATTCCCTCTTGAACAATTTCACTTTGATTCAAGTGACTGCCTGGCAAATGGGCAGGAATAAGACGGACTTTTTGTTGATGGAATAAGTGGAAAAGGCTTCTCTCCAGCCTGGTGGAAAGCAATGTTTGGTTCACATCTGCAGGCTAAGGCACTGTCTTCTGCACTCACCAGTAACCCAGTGCCACAAATAGTTGGATATTTTTGTTGTTTTTCATGTTTTACAGTCTCTGCTGAATCCAAGCACTGGGCCAAATTAATCCCTGGTGTAACTCCACTGACAGAGTTACACCAGGAATAAATGTGACACATTATCTGTTATTACTCCATTAGATACAGCTTCTCAGCTACTCTCTCAATTCTAGTACTTGTGGCACCTTAGAGACTAACAGATTTATTAGAGCATAAGCTTTCGTGGACTACAGCCCACTTCTTCGGCTGTAGTCCACGAAAGCTTATGCTCTAATAAATCTGTTAGTCTCTAAGGTGCCACAAGTACTCCTGTTCTTTTTGCGGATACAGACTAACACGGCTGCTACTCTGAAATCTCTCAATTCTGCTTGTTGAATGGATTCTCAAAACATATGTGCCTATCTTTTAGTTTACTTTAATCCAAGTGTCCTGCTTTTTCCACATCACCATTAGTCTCTTCCTTCAGTAGCAAATCAAGGTGTCTCTCGGGCTCCCCATCCTGCGAACATTTAGGTTTGTCTTTACTAGGAAAAAAAGTATTCTTTGCCCATGTGAACTCACTTGAGGTAAAACCCTAGTGAAGACCAGGTGGTTTGTAGTTTTAACACAAGTTAACAGATCAAGGTAAACACTTGGTTCCCCTGTAGTCTTTAATTTGACCTGCTAACACATGTGAAAAATGGAGGTTACCTACCTGTAACTGGAATGTCTTTGAGATGCGGTCTCTATCTGTATTCCATCCGTGGGAATGCATGTGAGCCATGCACCCAAGACCAGAAATTCTAACAAGCTGTGTCTGTTGGCCTACACATTCTCAGTAGTTCTTCTTGTTCTAGACTGAGAGCTTAAGAAGCAGCATGGGCTGACACTTCTCCAGTTCCTCTTCTTACCGTGAATCCAGTAAGATGCGAACTGAGGAGAAGGACGGCAGGTAGTGGATTGCAGGTAGGGACCACACATCTCGAAAGACTTCCAGTTATAGGTAAGTAACCTCCATTTCTTCTTCACATGCTGATTCCTATGTGTATTCCACATGTGGGTGACTGACAAGCAGTATTCAGAGTGGAGGGGGTGTGAGGATGCTGGCAGCAAAGATGCATCGGCAGCAGAGGCCTGAATGGACGGATATGCGCTAATTGGCAGCATGTGATGATGCACCCAGAAATCCATTTAGAGATTCTCTCACAGGATAATGCTCGTCTTTGCGACTCTTCTGCTATAGTGAGAAATAACCTTGGTGATGTTCTGATAGGTGTGGTCCTTTACAGGTAGAACAAGGTGTGACCCAGGGTTCCCGGAGTAGCCCTCACTGGACATGCCAAGGTCTGGCTGCAAAAGGGAAAGCAGATATTCCCAAGACTGGTGGATAACACTGAAGTTAAACTCTCCAACCAGTCACAAACTGTGCTTCTGATTCCCCCCACACTGGTTATCAAGAAACAAAAAAAAATCATACAGCCCCCTTTATTGCATTCCAGTTCTCTGGCTCTCAATCAGCACATAGGTCCAGTACAGTGAGAAGTTATTTTAAAACTCTGCTCACATATGCAAAATGTTCTTCTGATCTCAAAGGTCAATATAAGTTTGGATCTTACCCAAAATACCACGTTGCCAGCCAATCCTTTAGTATCTAAAACTAAAGGTTTATTATAAAGAATGAAGAAAGAACAAGAAGAGAGTTGTTAAATGATAAAGCAGTCCCATACATACAAAGATTCAAAGTCCATGTATCAGGTTCTTAGCAGTATTGGTGAGTTTGTTAGCTTGAAAGTCCCTCTAGAATACATCCACAGCTTGGATGGGTCATTCAGTCCTTTGTTCAGAGCTTCAGTTTGTAGCAAAGTTTCCCCCAGAGGTAAGAAGCAGGACTGAAGACAAAATGAAGATGATGCAGTTGCCCTTTATATTCCTTTTGCCATGTGGCTTGTACTTCCTTTATTCCAAACATAAGCTGTCCAGCACATGGCATGGAAAAATTTTACAGTTCTGTCCATAGGCATACCCCTACATGGCTTGCTGGCTCAAAAGGTGTAGTCCTTGTTTCTTTCAATGGGTTCATTGTATAGTTGATGTCTCTTGGTGGGCCATCAAGCAGGCCTAGTGCTGATGCCAATCTGTCTGGGAGTGTCACCCAGAAACACAGCATAAATTTGGAAATACAGCTATACCCTATATGTATATATAATCATACTTGGCAAATTATAACATTTTTGCAGCTATCTTACATGGCATATTTGGCACAACTCATTTCAATTTTACAATATTCATAATATCCTAAAGTGTCCCCCAGATTTCATACAGTGTCACACAAGGCACATCTGACATTAAGGGAATGAATGCTTTTCCTTTTGGCAGAAGCATGGGGTTTTGTGAAGAAAGCATATGTGGATAGATGGTTGATATGTAATTAATTCAGAAATAACCTTGGGGAGGGATTGAGGATGGAATCAAAGGGAGACCTTTTCCTTGTGAAAAATAGTATATGGTGGGTCTACTATAAGGGTGGCCATCTTGCTTACTCTTGTGGAGGCAGTAATAGCAACTAAAAATACAACTTTCATGGATTAAGTGGGACATGGAACATGTTGCTAATGATTCAAATGGTGGTCTGGTGAGTACTGATAGGACAAGATTGAGATCCCTTTGAGGTGTAGATTTGTCCACTGGCAGAAAAGTCCTGACTAAGTGTTTCACGAATCTCACTGTTGTTGGGTGAGTGAAAATGGAATGTCTGTCTACCTGGAGGAAGGAAGGCATTGATGGCTGCGAGATGGACCTGCAGTGAGCTAATGGAATGACCTGAGTTTTTTTTAATGACACGAAATAATCTAAAACACTGGGATATCTGGAGAAGGCTGATTATGCTGAGCCCAAGAACAGAAACATCTCCATTAAGCTAGGTAGCAGGTCCTACTGGAGTCTTTCCGACTTTAAGTAACAATAGTTTGGATGGGTGCCAAACAAGAGCATTCTGGTTTGGATGCCCATCCAAACACCAGGCCATGAGGTGGAGTGAGTGTAGGTTGGGATATCTGATTTTGCCCCCTTACTACAGTAAGAGATCTGGGAATGGGGAGATCCTGACAGGAAGATGGACTGACATTCTTAGAAGCTCCAGGAACCAAAACTTTCTGGGCCAGTTAGGTGCTAAGAGAATGACTTAGATCCACCACGACAGGGCCATTCTCAAGACTTGTGGTACTAGAGGAATGGGAGGAAAGGCATAACTGAATTGGTTTGTCCATGACAACAGGAGAGCATCATCCCAAGAGACGTGACCCATAGCTCCTCTGGAACAATACAGAGGAAGTTTTCTGTTGTGTGGAACACAAAGAGATCCCATTGAGGAGTTCCCCACTGAGCAAATATATTGCTCAGGATAGAGCTTCGCACCTCCCAGACACCAGTCTGTAGACTGGTGTCTGATGAGGTTGTGTGCTAAAGAGTTTTGAGCAGCTGAAAGGTATTCAGCTTGGATAGTGATGCGATTTCTGATGCACCAGTTCCAAAGCCTGACTGCTTCCAGACAAGGGAGAAGAGATCTTGCTCCACCCTGTTTGTTTATGTAAATCAATATGTATGGTGATACTGTCTGACATTACTTGCATATGGAGTGAATGTATAAGCGGAAGAAAAGCCCTGAATGCCATCAGGACAGCACTCAGTTCCAATAGATTGATGTGCAGTCTGGCTTCCTATGGGTACCTTATATGGCATGGTAGTTCAGGTCAGCACTACAACCCAGAAAGAGTCTATTATGATGGTGGCACTGGGGGTGGGAATGTTGAAGGGGATGCCCATTCTCACTTGTTCTGGATTCCACCAACAGATTAGAGAGGTAATGACTCTGGTGGGAATGGTCATTCTTGTGTTGATATGATCCTTGTCTGCTGAGTAGAACAACCGGAGCCAGACCTGTAGACATCACAGATCAAGACTGGCGAATGTTGTCACATAAATGCACGTGGCCTTGAAGAGAGAGGCATATCTTCATTGTAGTCTTTGGTCTGTGAGTAATCTGTAATATCAGATTGCTCATTACCTGAATTCTTTACTTGGGGAGGAAAGCTCTTGCTGAAAGAGTCCAATGTCACTCCAATAAAGGTTATAGTCTGTGTGGGTGTTAACACAGACACCCAGCACTGCTAGAAGATGGAACAGGAACAAAGTCAGTGATCTGACTTCTTGGCTGGAGCGACTTACTAGGAGCCAGTCACCAAAAGACAGGGAACCTGTATAACCCTGACATCTCATTTGGGCTGCCACCACACAGGAAACGTTTGTGAATACTCTGAGAGCTGCTGCTACTCCACAGGAAAGGACTCTGAACTGGAAGTGTTCTTGACCCACTAGAAACAGTCTTCTATTCCACAGAAAGTTCCTTGTATCAACATGAAAATAGGCATCCTTCATGTCAAGAACCATGAACCACATCCCCTCCTGTGGGAAGGGGATTGTCTGTGCTAATGTAACCACCCTGAATTTTGACTTTCAAATAAAGTTGTCAAAAGTCCAGAACAGGTCTCCACCCTCTGTTTTTTGGGGGGAGTAAGAAATAAGGGGAATAGAACCCTCTCCCTTGATACTGAGGTGACACTTCTTCTATTGCCCCTCACTGGAGGAGGAAGCCTGCCTTCTGTTAAGAATCACCTCTTCCGAGTATCCCTGAAGGGGCACTGGGAAGGGGATTTGTTGGACAGAGGGAGAGAAACTCTATGGAGTATCCTTGATGGATAATTTCTAAGACCCAACTGTCTATCATGACAGAGTCTCAATTGTGGGTGAAAAATGAGAGACTGGCCACAAAGATAAGGGGAGTTGAGATGCCACCATCAATAGCAGCGGATGGATCTTGACCAAGACATCAAAAGTGGCTCTTGGGGTTAGAAGTTTTGGTAGCAGAAAGTGCTGAAAATTGAAGCCTCTGAACCATCTGATGTTTACATGGAGGCTTAACTGGATAGTTGTGGTACAGCATCTGTGGAGGGGGTGGCCTTGGCTTATACTCCTGCCTCTAGTGCTTCCTCCTCAGGGTCAGAGTATACATTGCCCAGGGTGTGTACAGTCAACCTCAGGTCTTTCAAAGAGTGTAGGGATTCATCTGTTTTCTTGTTACATACATTCAACTTGTTGAACGGCAGGTCCTGTTTGGTGTTCTGGACCAACTTGGAGAGTCTCGAAGAGTGAAGTCCAGACACGCCTCATAACTATGTCAGTGGCCAAGACTTGGGATGCTGTGTCTGCAGCTGGAAGGGATGTCTTTGCCATTAACTTGCGCTCTTCTATGAAAGACTGAAATTGGTCTCTGTCCTCAGGGGGAAGCTTGTCTTTAAAATCAGCCAGCCTGAAATAATTGTTAAAATCATATTTCGCTAACAAGGCATGATAGTTAGCAATAAAGAATTGCAGGCTTGTAAAGGAACAGACCTTTCTTCCCAAGAGGTCCAATCTCTTTGAGCCCCTGTCAGCCAGGGTGGTCTTGGGATGTTGTGATCTTGCTCTCTCCATGGCTGCCTGTACCACCAGCAAATCAGGCAGTGCATGGGAGAAAAGAAATTCAGCCTTTTTGGTGGGGATGAAATAGCATCTCTCAGCCCTCTTAGGTGTGGGGGCGCGTAAGGCTGGGGTGTGCCAGACCATTCTGACTGGCTCCATGATGGCCTATTTAAACAGGAGTGCCACCTTGCTTGGATCTGTAAGCTGCAGAATATCTAAGTGCCAACATTGCGAGTCCTGGACCTTCTCCATTGGTATCTGGAGATCATTGGCCATTCTCTGCAATAGCTTCTGATACTGCCTATGGTCATCCAGCAGAGGTGGTGAGGATGGAGTGACGTCTTTTTCCGGAGATGAGGATCTATGGATCCAGAACAATATCCTCTTCATACTCTGATGGATCCAGTGGGTGCAAAGTAAGAGAGTGTGGTATGACTCAGGGATGGATCTGGGGTGTCTACCATGGGGCTCCCTCAGGCTCCTTTA